TTTCGACCCATTTTATGCCATGTGGACACCTGATCCATTCTCACATCTTGACATTCATACCTATACCCACTCTCATCCGCATCTACATTGACACCCACACCCTCAAGATAGGAAAACGGTATTTGAATATATCATCGATATTTACAAGGCGATACAGAAATAAATCACGTGTGCACCTTGATGTTGCTGATTTCGATACACAATCATTAGCAAAACTGTTGACATTTTTCTTTAACTTTATTATGAGTATAATACAATCGGCATTAGTCAATCGTTTGGTATTCTCTTTGTCACTTTTCGGTAGATAGCTAATTCAATTCTGTCATATGTCACACGCCGCACGACCTGTTTGAATCAATGGAACCAATTCTGAAGAATATTGTGGTTTATAATATGACCTCTCTCATTAATTCCGAAATTATTATTTATTTCAAAATAGCTTGCGTAACAGAAAAAAATTTGTCTCTTTCATCTGGATAGACGTCACTTTAATAGTTTAATATTTCCAATCCTATATTCTCGGTTCGATCTATTATATCTTTCAAATCTTCATCTTCCATGTTATCTTTTAACGTAAGTGTTCTCGTGATATCTAACTGCTTCAATTTCGTATTCTTGTTTTGTAACAACGATTTGCATAATACGTAGACACCATCACGTCCAATGCTAGTATAGCTAAGATCAAGAAGTTTCAGGTTGCCATGATTCATTTTTTCCAACATTTCACCTAATGCTTGTGCACCAACACATGTAATACCTGTATTTAGGTCCAAGATTAGACTTCCAAGCTTGTTGTTTTTATTGGATAATAATGCACAACATATGCTTTTTACACCGTCATCACTTATAGTAGCATTACTCAGACACAAATGCATTAAATTATTAGATCGATTACCACCTCGTAGCAGTAGATTAGTAGCTATATAGCTCACACCAATATCAGTTAATTCAGTGCCGCGAAAAACAAGTTTTCGACAATTCAACGGTAAATTGGTTGTAATAAAATCGATTTGATCATCTGTCAAGGTTTCATGATCACGAAAAGTGCACGTATCACTACCACGCATGTAATATCGTAAATTTAAAGTAGTATCTGTCATTCTTATTCACAAAAGAAATTCGTTTCACAAATTTACGTATATATATAACTTTTTTCATTAATTCGTCTCCAACTTTCAAAGTCTTGCATCATCACAAAAAATGAATAATCGTGACTCATTTCTCCTTTCATGTTGTTAGTAAGTAAGACGTATTATTTGTCGTTCTGTTACACATGTACATGTACGGACACAATTGACATGAAAACATCGATCTCTCCGTGCCACGTTTTCTCCTTGCCTTCTAAATCTGGACCGATTGTATAGAGAACCGAGTTACGATGGTAGTTTCTCTGTTGGCGCACAAAATTACCAAACCTCGTCCTATATGGCAACGTCGACCAACGGTGGATGTATTGTTGACGAACAGGACAACACTCACACCCAAAACACAAGCAAAGAAATATTCTTTGATTCACCACTGTTTCTATGATAATGATCATATTCAATATATGTTATAATTATTGAGAAGAAGTTTTCTGTCAATGGATATAAAAATGTAGCAATAATTGTTGATTGTAAATACTTTCGAGGGTTACAATCAAAAGAAAAGCATAGACAAAAAAGAAACAATCGTTTAAATCAATACATGGCTTTGCTTACATGTTTTGACGATGTGCCCGATCTAGTGCTAATCGAGTTGTTCTCATATCTGTCGTCTAGCTACATTCTTCGAGGATTTAGTCGTCCTAATCATCGTCTGACAATGTTAATAATTGATCGAGGTTTTTTTGTATCATATTAATTTATCAGTCATACGCTATCATCAGTTCAATACAATTCTTAGGTTTCTTCCACTAAGTGGTATTCAGTCGCTTGCGATTGATTGTGAAGCATCGCGACTTCAACTGACTCATGGGTCCTATCTACCTCGTTTAAGAACTCTACGTATCATTGGCGTGTATGAACACGATGATCTTTTCATCTTTCTTTTGCTTCATGTAGCCACACTTACTCATCTCATTATCAAATCGAACGAATGATTAATTCCGGTAAGTGTTAACAGATTGCTTTAATACACTGAGGACTATGAACGATTAAGATCATTGGAGAAAAAATTGAACACTCTAACGTACTAACTTTTTAAAATTTCACACTATCTCTAAAAAGAAAAAATAGGCAAAAAATGTTAACACTGATCAAAACTTGAATAGAATAAAGTAGAAGGGACAAGAAAAGATAGCGATTATGTTTCTTTTAGATATAATTAAATCAAAGCATTTTTTTGGAAAAGAAATTCAAATCAAAATGTCATAAGATGTCATTCGACACAATTTGTCAGTTTCAATAAAATAATTATTGTCCATTTCAAAATACAATGTACTCGACTGATTTTTGAATGACTCGAGAAAGTAGACAGTTAGAGACCTGTGGTTTTTATCGTTCAATATTACAAAAAATGCATGAAAACAATCTGTCATTCTGATGAAGTTTTGGTTTTGACAAACGATCTAGTGAGAGAGACTCCATACCTATAGTTCAACATATGATGTGAATGACTATCTTCCTATATCTTAATGTTGAGCAAATAAGACCATCTATTTACTCGCACGAAGACTGAGTTTCTTTTAATTTTTAACCGAATTTTCTTCCTTTTTTGTCAAAACGTCATTTGAATTGACAGACTATTTTTATAGATTTTTTCCATGTTTTATAGAAGTGACTGATTTTAAAATGATTTCATCTTTTACCATGTTAAAAAAAAGACGTTCTCCTGTCTTCTCTTTCAATTGATGGAAAGCACAGTTCTCTAGCTTTTTATGTTCTCAAGTTATTCAAAACAGAAAAAAGAAAAGAGTGCAGCACATTATATTTTGAAATGGGCAATAATAAAATAAACATCAAGTTCAATGCTTCCGAAAGCTACGCAATTGAGAAATACACATGTAATTAAAATACTGATAGTTATCGTTCTATCAAAATATTGAAATATAAAATAGATTTTTCTCATTCACTATGAAAAACCCTTCTGAAACAATTGTATGAAATCATTTGATCCTTCATTGAGGAAGAGAAAATAGAACTAATCGATTCATCAAAAGCATCATATTGGAATACATCTAAATAATTTTGAATTACAGATAACTACATACAAAATAAAGTGTTATCATATAATGAAATTAACGGGTTACATGATTTTCGGCCCGGATCGAAATTCTAGTTTTCAAATTAAAGCATTAATACGAACAAATTTTATTCTAAGTTTTCAATGATTGTATTAAAGAAACGGGAAAATGATCTTCATTAGCTCGAAATATATTCAAAAAGTACTTTGTTTTAACAACTATTCCAAATATTTGTACTTTAAAAGCTAATAATTTTGAAAATCGTCGTGAGATGAAATGTTAAACAAGTTTGGTTTCATTCAATGATAATCTATAATAGAATGAATTGTTTTAAGAGTCTGTAGATTTGAATCAGCTATGATACATTACGTAGAGCAAACTTTCTACGAACGAATAAATTTTCAAAAGTATTGCCATTAATTGTACATAATGAGTAAATTTGTATAGAAACTTCACTTTGGAAAAGCGAAAATTGATCGAAAATATTGTTATAAAAGGACAAAAGTTTGTTCGTAAACAGCAGCAGCTACAACTTCTAAGGATGAAAGCAGGCAACCTTACTGCATCAATTTGAAGGACTGCCTCATAGTTTCTAAATTACTATTGGTTTTTTGTATATGTATAACTTATTTCTCTAAATTATCAGATCCTTTTAACATTAGTATTTTTTATTAATATAATTCGTCTAAATTTTGCTTGTGTCCTTAAAATTTATTTTTTAATTTAAAGTATATTGTATTGTATATGTGTTTAAAACTCCTGAATATGTGAAATGTGTTTGTGTAAATTTCATCTACAACACTACGCTGCTCAATCCGTTGTTTAATTGTGAATAAATTCTTGAGTTCAGAGAGTTTCAAAGGTATATTTGAATGCAAATTCAAAGCTAAAAAGTATTATAGATAACAAAGAGTTCTTAGTAGGGGTGGTGCATTAGAATTGGCATTTATTAATACTAATGCTAATATGCCACCCCTAGTCTATATATTGATGATAATTTTTGATGATGTTCTTGCTCATTTTAGAACACTTCGATTAGCTGTTGAAACGATCTGGAAAAATTTGTGAAACACGAGGATGAAATTCTACGACTAAATGTAGAACTATATTCAGATGTTTCATTAAAGAAATCATGTAGCAACTTAGCGTTTTCTATTAGTGACAAATATTTATTAATAATTGCTTTCTATGATCGACTTAACAAGAAAAATAATTTTGAAAGATAGTATGAATACAAATCTTACATTGTTAAAACCCCACATGGGAAAAACTTGTTGATGTTCATTTCATCAAAATGCTTTTTTTTTCTCGTCTACTATCAGGTAAAGTCAACATAATAACAAGTGATTCTTTAATAGTTAGTGCTCATCATTGTACAATTCAATGAACATACATCCTGTTCTTATCAAACTGTTAGATGAAATCCCTGATTTATCGGAATTTCTCGATGATGGACTTGGGCATGGAATGTATTATGTAATTATGACTTCAATCGAAAGTATTACAATGTTCGTAGACAGGTATCACTTAACGATTATATTCTTATTTATCATTAACTTCATTGCGATAGACATATGATATCATTTATAAATTTATTCAAGGTTAACAAAGAAACTAGTTTTATTTTGATATGAGTCGATTGCTAAAAATCAAGAGTTAGACTTGTAGACTAATTTTTACATTTTAGATAGTTAAGTCTTTATGTTTTGTCGAGAGATACATTTGATTATCCTCAAACACAACTACTATGTGAGCTAAAAGCAGTTAATAGAATATAGTTCAAAATTGGAACTTGAAATATATAAAAGAAGAAATTCACGAATAGAAATAAACAGAATTAACACATTGGGGAGAGAATTTCTATGTTCTGAAATCCATAGTTGACGACAGCGATATCAGTCCAATTATCATTATCGATATCGGCAAATGACAACCATATAGGCATTGCACCATAACCCATAGAAATCTTTGTTTCATTCACAAAAGTCCCATTTTCTACACCAAATAGAATGAAAAGTTCATTTGAGGCAGAATTAGAGATAGCAATATCCAATTGAGTATCTTTGTTGAAATCACAAAGGCCTACCGAAGATGGATAAGATAATGCACCTGTTGAATATATTGCATTTTGGAGAAAACTCCCATTGCCACATCCTCGAAAAATACTAATACTATGGGTACCATAATTGACAACAACTAAGTCTACTCGTGTATCGCTGTTTAAATCACCAACGACGACAGCATACGGCTGAGATCGAAAGCCAGTTGAATAAGTGATTTGATCTGCAAAATTTCCGTTACCATTTCCAAGAAATACGCCAACACTATCACTACCAGAATTTGCGACAACAATATCCAGTTGATCATCATTGTTAAAATCAGCTACGCTCAAAAATCGTGGAAAAGAGCCATTACCAGTAGTGTATGTCGTTCCATCGATAAAACCATCATGAGCAGACCCAAATAATATGAAAATATTAGTTGCATCAATTACTATGAGATCCAATCGATTGTCTTCATTCCAATCAACACATTTAATACTCAATGGAGAATAAATACTATTTGTTGAAAAAGTTTGCTGACTTGAAAAGAAACCATCTCCACTTCCTAGAAATAAACCAATATTTATCATATTCCGATTGGCTACGATGATATCCATTCGTTTGTCATTGTTCAAGTCACCAACAGCAACATAATGCGGATATGAATCAGTACCAGTTGAATACATCATTTGATCTGCAAATAAACCGTTGCCATATCCTAGAAATATACTAACCATGTTTGTTCTACTATTGGCAACAACAATATCCATTCGATTGTCGTTATTAAAATCACCAATGGCAAGAGATTTTGGAGAAGAACCATTACCAGTTAAATATGTCATTTGATCCATAAATGATCCATTTCCATAACCTAGAAATACACCAATAGTGTTTGTTCCACTATTGGCGACAGCTATATCTATTTGGTTATCATTGTTGAAATCACTAATAACCATAGAAAGTGGATAAGAATCTTTACCAGTTGAATATGTAACTTGATCCATAAATGACCCATTACCATGCCCTAGAAATATACCCACGTTGCCTGTGTGATTATTCGTGATAGCTATATCTAATCGATTATCATTGTTGAAGTCAGCTATGTTTACTGAACACGGATTGGAATAAATGCCAGTAAAATAGAAGATAGAGTTTGTAAAAGTGCCGTTACCATAACCTAAATAAATCTCTACTCTCTCTATACCACGCATGATCGAAGATCCTTGAATAGTTACCACAATATCCATATTTTGGTCGTGATTAAAATCACCAACAGCAACAGAGGAAGGGTAACCCAAAACTTCATAACTTCCTCGATTTATCAGTGCTCCATTATCAAATCGAAGAAGTATATTAATGCTGGAGGTGTCATAATTGATGACAACCACATCCATTTGATTGTCATTGTTGAAATCACCAATAGCAATATCGTAAAAAGAATGTTTTTCCGAGTTTGAAAATACAACGCGTGCTTCGAAGTTTCCAATATCATATCCAAAAAGCAAACCTAGATTATGACTGGCATAGTTAACGAAAGCAATATCAAGTCGAGTATCATTATTAAAATCTCCAACAACAACTGAAAACGGTTGAGAATTTGAACCAGTGGAATAAGTTATCTGATCTTGAAAGCTTCCGTTTTCATATCCAAGAAATACACCAATATTGTTAGTGCCAACATTGGCAACAATAATATCTACTGTATTATCTCTGTTGATGTCAGCAGAAATGATGAATCGTGGATAAGAATTATCATCGCTAGTAAAGCTTTCTTCAGCCGTAAAACTCATGTTTCCGTATCCGAAAAGTAAACTGATCTCATTACTCTCGGGATTTGACAAAGCAATATCAAGATTTTCATCTCGATTTAAATCAGCAATGAGCAATGAATATGGATGACGATACTTGGCAGTTTGAAACTTTGTAATCGCTTTATATAATACAATATCATAGCTAAAAAGTAGAAGTATAGTAGAATCATATGAATTACTAACAACTATATCCGTTCGTCTGTCGTTGTCGAAATCGCCAATAGCGACAAAAAACGGAGTAGGATAATCATCGGTGGAATACGTAATTTGTTGCATAAATGATCCATCGCCATATCCTAAAAATACACCCACGTTGTTTGTACCACTATTGACAACAGCTATATCCATTTTCTTGTCATTGTTGAAATCACCAGCGGCAATAGAATTTGGTAGAGAATAGTATCCCGTCGAATACATGACCGCCGGTGCAAACGTTCCATTACCAATATTTAAGAGAACAGCAACAGTGAAACTTTTCCCATATGGAATATTAATTATGACAGTCTGGCTTTCACCATAATTGGCGACAGCTATATCCATGTTATTGTCATTGTTAAAATCGCTAATAACAATAGAATATGGATAGGAACGATCACCAGTTGAATATGTAATTTGATCCGCAAATGATCCATTGTCATATCCTAGAAATATGCCAACAGTGCCTGTTTCACTGTTGGCAGCAGCTATATCCATTCGATTGTCATTGTTGAAATCGCCAATCGCAATAGAGTATGGCCGAGAACCAGTACCAGTTGAATATAGGATTGGATCTGCAAATGATCCATTCCCCCATCCTAGAAGTATACCTATATTGTTTGTAATTCCATTTCCAAAAGCTATATCCAATCGATTGTCATTGTTAAAATCGACAGTGACGATCGAATACGGCTCAGAGTCGTCACCAGTGAAATACGTGTCGTGGTATGCAAAGGATCCATTGCCATATCCTAGAAATATTTTCACATTACTACTCACGTAATCAGTGACAGCTAAATCTATTCGATCGTCATGGTTGAAATCACCAAGAACGGCAGAGCATGGATAAGAAAAAGTGTCAGTTGAGAAGTAAAATGAGAAGACTAATGATTCATTACCATATCCTAACAATGCATCAATCCGTTTTGTGTTACCATTGATGATAATCATATCTGGTTGATTGTCATTGTTGAGATCACCGATAACGACAGAGGAGCATGATCTCTTATAGATAGCTCTTGATATTCTTTTTTTAGCAAATGATTCATGAGTGCACCCTGGCAATAAATTCACCTTTTTGTTACTGTTTTGCTCAATGATTTTGTTCACTTGATCAGCATTGTTGATGTCTGCAACGCAGTCAGTGGACCGTTTATAAAAATGAGCTGGGAAATATACGATTTTGCTATGAAATTTTAGGGCTTTCTCAGCCATCAGGATACCTACATCGTTGGTTCCATTATTGGCTACAACAATATCTAATAGTTGATCATTATTGAAATCGCCAAGCATGAGAAACTGAGGTTCCGAGTTATAGCCAGTTGGATACGTTACTTGAGTGTGAAATGATTCATTATCGTATCCCAAAAATATGCTTACCATGTGTGTTTGAGAATTAGCAACTGCTATATCCACTATACTGTCTTTGTTTAAATCTGCCACTGTAACAGAATGTGGTCTTGAACCAGTTCCAGTAGAAAAGGTAATTTGCTCACGAAACATTCCATTGCCATGTCCAAAAAAAATACCAACATTATCTCTACCAGAGTTGGCAACAACAATGTCCAATAGATTGTCATTGTTCAAATCACCAATGGCAATAGAATATGGTTGAGATGCCAAGCCAGTAGAATACACTATTTGACTTGCAAATGTTCCGTCACTGTTTCCTAAAAATATGCCTATGTTGTTCGTACCATGATTAGCAACCACTATATCCAGTTGAGAATCGTTGTTCAAGTAGGCAACTACGATCGAGCGTGGATCAGAGTCGTAACCAGTTGGATATATTGTCGGATGTGCAAAACTACAGTTGCCAAACCCAATTAGTACTCCAATAGAATTCGTACCATAATTAACTACAGCAATATCCATATGTGTATCACTATTGAAGTCACCAATAGCAATTGAGAGTGGTCGAGAAGTATTAGTTGTAATAATATTTTGATTCGAAAATGTTGCATTGCCATATCCAAGAAAAATTCCAATACTATTAGTTCCAAAATTTGTTACAGCAATATCGAGTCGAGCATCGTTATTGAAATCATTGACGACTACAGAAGAAGGACGAGACAACATTCCTGTAGAAAATGTCTTAGGACTTGAGAATGTCCCATTATTATATCCTAAAAGTATCCCAAGATTGTTAGCACCATAATTGGCTGTGACAATATCTAATCGTTGATCACGATCAAAGTCACCAATTGCAAGAGACTGAGTGCGTGAATTCCATTGAATAGCGTTCTTTAGTACTGGTTTATATTCGTGTGCGCACATATGGCCTAAAATAAAGAAATAGTGCACTTATTGACAGAAGGCTTTGTCTAGTTTTGAAAACTTGTTTTCATTAATTTAGAGTAGTAAACTAAACTCTGTACTTCTTGAAAATATTTTCTACAAAGTCAGAAATTTTAATGAAACTACAGTAGAATCAATAGACAATCTTTCACATTTCAGATTATAATTACTGTTTACTCCGTGTTGATTGTTTTCTATCATTAACTTTGATGGATACGGCTCTATGAATTTCTGGGCGATATGAAATTTTCTTTCTAAGTCTTTATGAAGTCATTTCTAAGCTCGATGAAAAGATTCAACAATTCAACTCGATCTAGTCAACTAGACATAGCAGCCTAAAAATACAGATACCATATCATTTCTCTCATCAAGCAAAAAAATGTCTATTGACTTGTATTACAAGATAAATAAATTGAAACAGAAACAGATCATGATTATCGAGAGATCAGTGCGATAGATCTTCAAATGTGTATGAGCAAGATAAAGCGGATCATTTAAGATATCACCCCTTACAAAAGATAATTGAAAGAATCATTAGAAATGCGCTTAGATATACATGATTAGAAGCTTTATTCATTCTTTCTCTTCTGATAAGATCACTATCCGTCTGGCTTCCGTTGTAGAATAAGATACGAATACATCATGAAGAATAAAGTGGGCGCAACCTATTAAGTATTGTCTCAAGGTTTACGTGGAAATATGTTTCTCTAGTTGATGTTTGAATCATATCATTAGTTTTTAAGAAACTATTTGAGGATGAGAGTGAAGATGAGATGGCAAAAAAGATTTGTAAGGGTCTGATTTCAATTTAAGTTGAAAATGTCCCTTAGCTCTCTTACTTCTATACCATCTTATCGACATCGTAATTTAAGAAAAAAAAAGCACGCAATGAAAACTAAGTTTCTCAAGTCATCTTCTGTCGTATTTTGCTGAGAAATTTTGTCATAGAGTAGACTGTGCACAGTTTTTTTCTGCTTGTTTAATCAATTCTTCATAGAATTAAACGTGTACTTAGGTGTTGAATTATAATTTAATAGTTGAGTTCTGAATGAATTATATTAGTAGCTGAAGTTAAACAATAGGAACTATACAAACGTAATCTGGACTCATCATCTACTTCGAGTTTATCAATATCTTAGAGACGGAAATCTTTCAAGTTTTTCGTTAAGAATTAAAATTTTTCAATTGATCATATTCTCATTCTTGATTAGTTTTAATAATATAATGAAAGTTAAAATTGAATAGCTTACTTGATTCTTTTGGTGAGGTTAAACAAATCGTTACAATACCGATAATCATCATGATGGTGATAAATAAAAAACTGCCAATAACATATATGGTAGAATCTCCTATTGGCTGAAGATATCTCACTATAATGAAGATGATTACGACTCATGATTGTAATAGAAAGTAGAAAACATACATAGACGTAGAACTAGCACCCGATATCTTTCCATTGTCGATTGAAATAGTTTTATGATTGATCGATTGGATTTGCCGTAGAACATATATCTTGTCTTTAGAAGACTCTAAATATTTTTCTTCAGAAAATGAATCTTCGATCGTAATGATGTTTTGATCCGTTTAAAATGTCTAAATCTATATAGTAAAGATAAACTTGATTCGAATTGAAACATTCCAAAGAAAAGTCTATCTTAACTCGATTATTATGTGTTCAACTAAAATTCTACAGGACAAACTTTTCGATGTTTCTATTCTCATTCTTTTTTTTTTGTATCTCGAAAAATCTTCCGAACAATTTGAATTATCTAAGAGACACAAAAAATAGGATCTTTTGCGATTCAAAACTATTTCATATAATTCTAACTGCAACATATCTGAATTGAAAAGATAGAAAATAATTCAACATCTACTTGCTACACATAAGATTTTCTAATATTTAAAAAAATAGATTATATGATCGAAGAATTCTTCTAATTAATCATTAATACGATTTGTTTGCATTACTGCTATTTCTTCGTTTTTTTTTAAACTATTTTTACTCATGATATATAGTCATGATTGTCAATCAAAGATATTCAAATATAAAAAGTTAACTAAATCGATTCCATCGTTTGAAAGCGTTTTCTGATCTAATTGAATAACTCTTGTATCAGCATTCTCATTAGAAAAAGTCTTAATACTTTCTAATATTCGTTCAACTTGTGTTTTTCTTCTATCAATGATCTTACTCAGTTTATTTTTTCTACATATAAAAAGAATCCCATTGAATAATAAATTAGCAAAATATTCATGGACTTCTGATATACTTCTGTTGTGTCTATTCATCGGCTCATGTATTTTCGATAATATGTCTGTAGATTGTTGTAAATAGCTACAAATAAATATTCTTTGAAAATCATATCAAAGTTTATATATCATTTTATAGATTGCTTTGTTCCTAAATCGACAAATTCGAGATAAAGTTTGATATATTTTTTAGAAAAGTTATCATTTGCAATTATTTACAACAATCTACAAACATTTTTCAAGAATACGTGAACTAATGAAAGGAGTTATTGAAGATTATTGAAAACGAATAAATAGAATAATATTTTTGAAGAATTCAATGGACACATTTTGCAGCTTTTTCATTCTATGAAACTTCTTGTCGAGTTTATCTAAAAAAACAAAAAAGCAATCGTCTAATTTTCTTTCTTAATCATTATATTAGCGCGTCTAACTCTCAAAGATGATTAAATGATTGAAAAAAAACAGGTACATTTAAGCGAGAAGCGATGTTATTAATGCAAAGTATGTCACATTCGTGTCTTCTTGATTGCGGACGAAAATCAAACCAATTAGCATGCCGACAGTGTGGGTGAGGGCTGAAATTTTGTCCGCAATTAAGAAGTAGCCGTCACATTATGTGTCAATTACAATAATGACATGTAATAGCCTACGTTTTCTAGGGATATTCGAAGAATGAATAAAAATACTAAATACGAAGTATCATGAAGAGAAAACGTAAAGCATGACATTGATAGAAACAAACGATGAAAAGAACCATAAAAGAAAAAGTAAGTGAAAAGGATGAGAGAAGAAAAAACGACGAAGATAAATATATTAGATACTTCAATAATTTATTTCATATGAGTGATTAATTTCGAGTTCGATTGTAAACAGATGCAGAAAAAACAAACTTAATTTTTCTTTGAAAATAAATGTAAAAATTAAAAAACAAAAAGACATTTTACTATAAAATAGTCAAAGATTTAATTAGTTTTAGAAGAATTATTAATATAATATAAATAAATATTTTACTGCCAACTACATGACTTGTTTAATTCGAGTTATAATAGAAAAGTTGAGGATTCGAACGAAAATAGATTCAATAGAACATCGTTGAATCAATTATAATTTAAAAAGTCAAATCAGAATTTTATTTTTGGCTTGTTGGTCGTTTTATCAAGATAGTGTACTTACTTTAAATATAAGTGGAAGAAGAAAATTATCTTTAATTTTAGCACAGTAAATGTTTATCGATTTCGAAAACTTGAGTTGATTTGAAATTCAACTTAGTAGATACTTAATATTAAAATCATATGATTAGGAAGGAATAACAGAAGTCTTTTCTCTTGCTTCTAACCTTTCTCCCTAAAATTTTTGTTGGCTGCTATATAGTAGATTTTATGGTGTTTTGATGAAACATATATGGAAAGTAGGATGTGGATTGATATGGATGCAGATCGAAGTCTTGTCTTCAGCCATAGTAGTACATTAACATCTAGACCCCGACACTAGAATCTCTTAGGATCACCATGACTCATAGTTATCATGGTCACGATCACGGCTGTAACCATTTTTGATTAATGATCCCATTGTTTTTATCTTTATTTAAATTTCATCACAAGAAAAATCATTCAACCAAAGGGATCTCGACTTTTGATTAATTACAAAGAATGAGCATGACCACAAGACTTAATCAACTGGAACACTACTCCACACCAACTCTTACTCTTTTATCAGCTTCGCTGTATTAAAGCATGCAGCAGTTATCGAAAAGTCACGATCTATGCTCGTCTCTATTTCTGTTTTTATCTCTTTAAATCAATAAAAATCAAAGTATTTCAGAGAAAATTCACTATCAAGTTCGAGTTCATCAACAATACTTACATAATATAAAACTCAGTCTAAATTTTGGTTTAACATATTTCTCTATGTGTTTTTTTTTAAATATAGCATTGTCTCCAATAAATGTCATGCGAAATTCTACGTCTCTTTTTCTAAAATAGATCGGAAAACTTAATGATCGCCATTTTCAAGTGCATCAAATTTATTGTATAGCAAACAGATGAAAGTCGTTAGCCAATAAGACTATCAGAGAGCGTTTGAATAGAATTTACGTTATGAGTCAAAAATTTATTAATAAGTCTTAGTTTTCAATATCTGAGCGGACACATACGTATTAAAGAAAGATTTTACATTTAATATAGTTATGATCAGAGTTGCTGGGCTGCTTCGTACTTTTTGAAGATCAAATATTAAGTTATTACTTAACTATTCGAGAACTCTCTAACAAAGTCATTAGAATTCAGTAACAAATATTCGAACTAAATGTTAATTTAGTGTCGTAGGATTTATATTGGTTGAGAGAAGAACTTGTTTTGATCCAAAATAATTAAATAGTAAATTTTTCGCTCGTGCTATGATGATAATTGATTGATAAATGTGAATGTCCTTGTCTTTTATTATTAATATCATTTATTCCTCTACATTTTTTTTTGATTACATAAAGCAGAATTGATATGATGAAAAACATTATGTTAATTCAAAACTTTCCCATATGAAACCTTTGTTTTAATTTACTATTTCGTGCAAGAATTCGTTATTATTTTATTATTATGGAAGTTAAATTAAATAAACAATTGAAACTTATTCATGAAATCAGAAACAGCTATTAGTCTGATTTGGCCTGCAGGCAACTCTGATGGCAACAATATGAATAAATCTGTAGGAAGTAAAAAAAACAACAGATCAACAAATCAATGGATTTAATAAAACATTATTTGTTGTCTTATGATTTCATTTCTATTATTATAATGACTTTCTCTAATATAAAATTTATTTGTTTTTCTTCATAAAATATGTCGATGAAATAGAATTACATTAAAAATAAAAGATTTTGTTCTTTAAAATTATATTCTTATATCTATCAATTTGTTTGACCTAAATATTAAAAACAAAGCCAACTAGAATAATGTTAAATATTTATTTAAATAGTCCAGAAAAGAATATCATAATAAAGTTAATTCAGATTTTTCTTTTTTTTTAAACAGGTACTACATCTGGTTGTCGATTACGTGTTTGTTTTTGTTCATTTTTAACAAAATTTTTCAATAAATCCATAATATGATTTTGATATTCTTCAGGTATATCTATTTTTCCTGTAGCCATATAATATAAATCCCAATCATTTGATGGTGTATTAATTAATTTATCATATAAATCAAGATCTTTAGCATTCATTTTTGATAAATAAATCGATGCAAAATTACTAAGTAAAAGATCATTTTCTAGCATACCACGTTTTCGACTTTGATAAAGAAGACGACGACGTTTAACTTCAATTGATTCATTTTTTGGTTGAGTCCATACAGGTAATTTTTCTGATGATGCTTCCATATGTGATTGACGAATATAAGAAAGTATAAATGAACGATTTAAACATGTCGTTAAATAACATCGACGAAGAAGATTCATATCTAGAGGTAAATAATTTATATGGTTTTTTTATTTAAGATTTAATATAAAAATAAATATTTTTCTTATTTTTATAAACACAAACAAAAAAAATACTACAAATCAAAAAAAAATGACATTTTTTTTTCTACTGGAAACTAAAAGTAAAAATAATTCCTAAGTCTGATTATTTATAATATCAAATAAATTATTTTTCATCTTTATTTGTCGATTTATTTTTATTTGTCGAAGTATCACGAAAAAGTAATGGACACATTCCTATTTAGAATCAAAAATAAATATTAATAAAAAAGAAAACAATATATATTAATAGTTTATACCTAACAAACAACCTATTTAAAAACAAAAAAAAACAAACAAACATAAAGTTTAATATAAAATATTATTTATACTTACCGACAAAAATACATATGACTTTCGACTAGAAATATAAAACAATCGTTTATATAAAAACAATAAATTTTTCAATAATATTACCATTAGTTGTGTTATCTGTACTGATCGTTGTCCCCATTGATCAGCAGTTAATTTAGGTGGTTTAACTCCAAATGTACCTAAAAATCGTCCACATGTTCGTTCAATACGATCGGCAAGACTATACAACAACAAAAAAATCAAAATATTGTTATCAATCTTGTTGAGAAAAATTAATTTACCCAATACCCATGACATCACTGACAGCATTTCCCAAAGCAGCAGCTATTGAAAATTATAATTCAATATTGTTTTTATTTTTCGTTTATTTCTATTACCTGCCATTGTAGAAAGACAAAAAGCAACACCAAAAAATGCTTCAATTGTTTCACCCTGCATAAATACGAAATAATTTTCATAGAACACAAAGATTTCACTTACAGCAATAAGCATAACAAAATTATCAACAAAACCAAAACCAATATATGGAAGTCCAGTTTCAAGAAAAACTAAAGCAAAAAATTTAAAAATATATAATTAAATTTCTTTTACCAAAAGTTAATTGTGAATAAAGAATTGGTATTGTATTAATTGTTTCTGATGATAATTTTTCTACTTGTATTAATTCATTAGAAAGAATTCGTCGATGTTCTTAAATATAAATATTTATATAGTTTGAGTTTTATTTATTATTTTTATTAACCTGGTTCGAGTGAAAGAATAAAACTACGTGCTAATTCATGAATATCACCAGAACTTTCTGTTTTTGTATAATGAGCATGAGTAGATAAAGATGCAGATTGTTTAAGACGTTCTTTGGAAAAAAGGAATCTAGCAATTTTAACGGAAAAACGAGAAGCTGATCGATGCGACTGCGATATAGTATCTGGCTTTGGTATTGTGGAAAAAGATGAACGAAGGAAAAATTTTTGACATAGAAGAGTTCGTGGAAACCAACAAGTATAAAGAGATAAACGACAAGCCATTTAGATGATTAAGACACTATAATTACCATTTCATATAACATTTTGTGAGCACATTAGAATCAATAACAAGTCGATGCTTAGTTCACATTTATCCATTCGAAGAAGAACTAAGATAGGTGTCAGTAGTATACGATTGAGTTTTTCTCATATATATACATTAACAGTCTGCCGTATTTGGTTTGATGAAGTTATTTTTTGAGAAACAAAATATTTTGTCGATAAAAGAAATGAAATAGTCAGAAAATTAAACAGTTTTTTTTATAGGTGTGGGTATGGATACGGATGTACGTCTGGTCGAACTGAAGACTCACCCACTCTCATACCCACACCGTAAGCCAAAAGACTATCTTTCAAAAAAATAAGCATTATAATCGTCACTGTCTTGAATTCTCGTCAAGAACAATTGCTTTTCCAAATATTTTAGGAATATTATTTTGATCAAAGTTTAGTAAAAAAAATAAAAATCATATTCAATCAATAATAAAGGATATTTTTTCTCATGAGGATTTTTCTTATATCAATTGATACTATATTTTTTTTCTGACAAATTCTTGGAATTATAAGTTATTCCCTAGGAAGAAAAAATTCTTCTAAAAATTTACTTTTTTTCATAAAAAGCGATAAATAACTTGACGATAACGTTCTTGAAGTAAGTCGTATCCTATAAACTAAAGAATATATTTTAAATTTTGATCAATCTTTAAAAATACATCTTTATCTACTAATATGTCAAGTAATTCACCGAAAGCAAAGATTTGTAGTTTTATTATAATAAATATACTGTAAAAAAGATACTCAAAACTGATATTTTTCTTACAAATATCTAATTTAAAAAATTTCTTTTATTTCCTCAGGAATCCAAAATTAACTTTCCCAGTGATTTTCTTTTCCTTTTAGATTTTTAAAAATCTTGTCGAGTCATATTTCTTTACACATCCATGTAATATTCAGCTTGATCTATAAAAACAAATATCTAAATTACATCAATTATTTCAGATAAAAGATAAAATAGAATTGATGATAAATTATTTATTCCAAAGAAGTTTCATATCTAAATTAATTAAATATCGATTTTACAGTATTTTTGGCATAATTAACAAAATCATAGGTATTACTAGAAATTTATCTTTTTTTTCTGAATTCTGTTTCAGCTGTTCTCTTTTTCTATGTTTAATACGTAATATGTTACATTAATGGGCGTACGATCATATTGCACATGCGCAGCTTTAGTAATACTTTCTACTTGTTTTACAATTCTTTCATTTTTCTGAATTAGCCCACTTTTATCATAAAATCTTATGTTCTCAAGAATAATAAGTCGAATTCTAATAGATCTTAAATTTATTCCATCCTTAATCCAAAACCCATTCTTTTTAAAATAACTGATATGTTCATTAGAATTTCCAGTTTTGACAAGTACGACTACATTTTCGGGAATTTCTGGTAAACTATTTTGTTGAATATACAATCTTAAATATAGATTGCAAATGGAATCTCAAAGATATGTTGCTTCTTTTACCATATTCATCTTATCAGTTATTATTTACTGTTCTTAACTAAATTATTGGTATATGCAATATGACAGTAAAGTTTAGCAACTATATTTTTATAGCTTAATACTTGACCTTTTCCTAAATGATCTCGAAATAAATGGTAAAGTTCATTTATTTCTCCTAATAATATTATAGCTTGCTGTTTTATTGCAGTAAGTCGTATTTCTTCTTGATTAATAAACTGATCATATTTTTCTAAAATTTATTCTAAAAAATTTCTCATAATTTATGTTTCTTTTCTTTTTCTCGTATTATTTATTGTGTATTTCAAAATCTTTCCTTTTTTTTGTCACAATTTCCTAATATTATGTGGCATGTAATTATTACAGCTTAATAATAAATTAAAATATTGTACTGACTTTGCGAATTTCAAAATACATGAATATTTCACAAGTGAATATGAAGCGTCTAATATAAGTGATTCAGACAACGAATATATCCCAAATCATTGTCACTGTTAATAAAAAGAAACGGTATTTTCTTTCCTTCATCTGTGGAAAACATCGCTTCTGTTTTTGCTTTCGTTATTTATATAATTCTTTTATTAGCAATACGTATTCTTGTATATATTAAGAGATAAAAATTAAATTAAGCGATAATAATAGAAAATCATGACGAATTGTGAAAAAGAAAGAGATTTTAAAGATAAAAACCCATCATTAAGTTTTAACTTAATTCTTGTTAATATTGAAAGTAAAGAAGTAGAAAAGAAATTTTCTCTTCGAGATATAACATGTAAAAATGATGATGAATATAGTAGTAGTGATGAAAATGATATTGCTGATATAGTATATTTGCCTGAAATTTCAACGATTAAAAGGAAAGAGGATCAATTTTATTAACATCTTTTATCGATTGGTAACAGAATTTATTATGGTACAATTAACGAAAAATTACATAAAGGATAAAGTACATCTAGTATTAATGATGAAGAAGAATATTATTCTAGTTCATGAAAAGATGATAAACCTGATGGATATGATTATAATTTTAAAAATCACGGTGAATATGAAGGTAAGATTAAAGATAGAAAATTCCATGATCTTGAAAATGTTCTTAAACTTATAGCTGAGTGGAAAGAAGGAAAAAAACAGAATTGGTTTATATAAATGATATTGAACACTATTATAAAAAAATCCATATGAAGTTTGTTTTTATAATAGTTTAGAATCTACAATTTTATTAAATAATGAAAATCAACAAAAATAAAAATAATATCTTCAAAATTTCATTGATTTATGTGAAAAACGTCTTTCAAACCCTAATTTACTAAAAGAAATAGATACTAAATCTATTCTACATTGAGAATTAAAATCATCAGTTGATCTTTTATTTAAATAAGATCATAGTTATACAAATTCTAATAAATAAACTAAAACAGATACAAAAAACAAAACTTCTAATGATTGTATGTCATCGAAAATTATCTTTGATAATAGTTTAAATAATTTTTTTAAACAAAATCTCAAATATCTAATTTAAAAACAATACTTTATTTTAATCCACTTGTAATTGATTTAATTGAAAAGTTAATACGTTTAAAAAATTAGAAGAAAATTAAAATAGTTCTATTCTAGTAAAATTTAATGGAGAATATGTTTTTCATAAAACATTAAGTGATAATCAAATAGGATTCTAGAGAAAATTGATCTTAATGATATTATTGTATCATTTCATGTAAGGAAGAATTTAAACAGCTATATTAAAGACTTTGTATAGCATTAAAATCGATAAATTAAAAGAAAATATAACTTGGGTTTTTATGATAAGAAAAATTGAAATGAAAATATATGAAGACACCAACATAAATTAAATGAAGATATTTTAGTAGATGAAAATATTATTAAAAATGATATTGAAGTTAAGAAATAGTTCAACTATTTGAACATCATCTATTCGTCAAGATACTTTGATTAAAGAAATAAGAAATGACTTTTTTAGTTAAAATTTTACAAGATTCTAAAAATTAAATTCTTAACTTATTACAAACGAAACATCTATCTCATTACGCTGTGAATATTTAAATCGATTTTCTACTTATTTAACATCAATGATAGCTTGTTGAAAGATAAGAAGTTCAATTATCAATAAAAATTGAAAGAGATTAAGAAAATTCACATTCGAGTTAGAATTAAGTGAAGGAAAACACAGTATTACAAAAGTTATTGATTATTTTCTTAATTTTAATAAAGAATTTTTTAAATTATTAAAAATTTTTCAAAAACATTTTTCGTTTAGTATGCATTCAGAATTTCATGAAAATGCTTCAAAAATCATGACTTTAATAACAAATATTCTTAAACAAGAGCAAAGAGAAAGAAGTTATGCCCAGTCAGTCTTATACACTTAAAAAAACATAAAATGTCTAATTTAGAAATTGCTTTGCAAAGAAGATTTTTCCAAGGAAACATTGTTGATGAGAAAGTTTTATTACAATTGCATGTAAATATTAATGAATAAGGTGATGACCCTAAAACAAAAACCGCTTTACATAGAGCAGAACAAATATTTTATTTCATTTCTCTCTTAGATCATATTGATAATCATAATAAAAGAAAATCCAAATAAATTTGAAAATGAATTAAAGATTAATAATTTTGATAGTGATTTTTTTTTGAGAAAGTCGAAGAAAATGATATTTATAAAATTCTAAAAATTAATGAAGCAAAAAGAAAAGAAAATCATTCATGTCTTGATTATGTATTAAATGCAATTATAGAGAATTATTAAAAGTATAAAGATATTTAATCAAGCAAGTCACATAGAAATTATTCAATTGAGAGCAAAATAAATAATGGCAATAGGAAAATCATTCAAGTGTTTTAATAATCGAAGAAATTATAACAGTTTAGCAAAATTAAAAGAAGATTGTTTTATTTCATTTCAAGATGTAACAATCGATAATGAACCTTATGGAACATTTTGTGATAAATTAGAAAATATTAAAGAGGAATAACTCTTGATCATGCTTTAAAATTATTTCAAGAAAAAAAAAATGAAATTTTATTAGGAATCCAAAGATTAAAAATGCTTTTTTGACACTGTGAAAAGTTATTTCGACAGTATTTTGATGAGATTATCAACAACAAAAAAAACTCGATTTAAACAGATAATTAAAGAAACGAAAAAAAAAATTGTTAATAAATTGAATTTTAAAAAAGAAACTATCCCAGTTATCATTACTAGACTATCAATTGTATTTTATGACAACCTTATTGTATTCTAATTCTTAGAGTATTAATACTATTAGATATTTATGGAGAGACGAGTTCACTTCCTTCTAATCATCTTGCTGAGATTTTAATTGGACAAGAAAAATCTTGAGTCTGAGCTCTCTTAGAAGGAATTTTTAGTTTGATTGGTTATCAAATAACAGTATATATATTTTCAGACATTCTGTCAAGAGAAAAAACTAT